ATCGCATTTTAGCAAATCAAAAACATTTCTGTGCAACGTTTTAACCAATCAACGCACTACGAACGGCGCATATCTTCTTTGTCTGTCAACCTCACACGCTATGGCGGCCTACAACATTGCGCGCTCCCTCCAGGGTCATGGCGGCGCGGTACGTCCATCCTCCGCCCATGGACATGGGTCCAGGCACCCATCATGATGATGAGGATCCTGCCCATGTCCAGATCTACCTCGGGATAGGCAACATGACCTTGAACGTCATGTAGATCCGCGCGATCTGCCAGGTCGACGACGTGCTCGTGACAGGCTCCATGGACGCGGCCGCGTACGTCTGGTCGTCTACCTCGTCGATCGAGCAGTCGATCTTCGACCACAACCACTGGGTCACGGCGCTCACGACGCTTCCATCGACGCATGCCACGCGCCTCGGCGGCCACGGCTTTGTCTCTGGCAGCATGGACACCAACATCCGCGTCTACCTCAAGTCGGCGGGCAGCGGATTTGCGTGCGCGATCGTGCTCAAGGGCCATACGAGCGGAGTCATCTCCCTGGCGTGGCTGGCGTCCGAAGTGCTTCTCTCGGGCAGTTGGGATGGCACCTGCCGCGGCTGGGACCTCGCGACGCAAACTTGTACGTTCGTCTTGCCCAACCATGAGAACGGCGTATGCGTGCTTGGCCTTGAGAACGGCTCGATTGTCACGGGCTCGACGGGCCGCCAAGAGGGCAACCAAGTCGTCGATGCAGTTCTTCGCGTATGGCAGCCATCCGCGACCGGCAACGACTACACGCTCGCATCGACGCTCAAGGACCATCAAGGTACATCAATGCATATAGCATATACAGGTACACATGCGTCGACGTAGGTCCGATTCGCCAGCTCGTGCCGGTTCCCGACATTGGTTTTGCCTCGTGCTCCAACGACGGGTAGAAGATTCCTTCTTGGCCCTTCTTCCTTTTTCATACCAACCTTTCTATGTCTTGTAGGAGCGTCAAGCTGTGGACGTCGGGCGGTGACGTCGTCATGAGCTGCAGCCACCCACTCAACCACGAGGGCAAGCCGGGGTTTGTGCTGGGGCTTGCGTACCTTGCCCAGAGCCGCCAACTCGTGTCGGCCAGCGAAGACTGCACGGCGTGCGTCTGGTCGCTCGGTACACGCCTTTCTCGTAACGATGGGCGTTGTTGTGACGCAAAATGCGTATAGATGGTTCGCTGCTGCAGACGATTGCGCATCCCCAAGGTCTCTGGTGCGTCACAGCACTCAATGGCACGGACTTTGCTACCGGCGGCGACGACAAGATTGCCCGCGTCTTCAGTACCTCGGCGACCATGGAGTCGTCGGCGGCCGAGATCCTTACGCTCCAAGAGCAAGTCGACACGGCAGCGAAAGCGCGCCAGCGTGGTCCGAGCGCTGTCGAAATCGAAAAGCTGCCCGACTACCTTCAGCGCGCGTCGCGGACGGGTCCATCGGACGGCTTTATCCAGATGTTCCGAAAGGGCAACGCCGCGTGGGCCTGCCAGTGGAGTGGTCCGTCGCAGACGTGGCTCGATGTAGGACCCGTCTCCAGTGATGTGGGATGGCGCAACTCAATCGCTTGGCGTAGATTGGCGAAGTCACGGGCACAGGGTCGGGTGGCGTCGTTGACGGCGAGTCGTTTGACCTCGTGATTCCGGTCGAGATTGAAACACCCAACGGCCTCCAAAAGTTGTACGTTCTCGTGATCAAGTACGAGGACGCTTAGTAGCGATGGATGGTGTAGGCAAATCGGCTACAACCAAGGGCAGAACCCGTTCCAAGTCGCGCAAGCCTTTATCGACAAGCATTTCTTGCAGCAAAGCTACCTCAAGGAGGTGCATTGTCGTTATCCTTTCAATTGCGAAGTCTGACATGTGCGAGTAGATTGCCGATTTTATCACGGCGCAGTCGGGCAGCTACCAGGCGCCGGTGCTTGGGTCGGCCGCGCCTGCGGCCCCCGCAGCCCCCGTGACTTTTACATCGACGTATTTTCCCGTCGTACGTGTTTCCATCTCGTGTCTTGTGTCGATATCGTGTTGCTCATGTGTGGTTTCTGTCGCATAGAAGGCGTACAGCTCGTTTGACTCGACCAAGGTGACCAAGCTGCTATCAACAGTCGTGCAGTTCAATGCAGCCGTGGCCCCGACGGTGCGTTGCGACCAGCATGCTACAATCTCGAGGTATATTCATCGAAATCGCAGGTTGCACTCACGGACGCCGAGCTGGAGACGCTGGCAGCGTTGCTCACAACGCTGACGCAGACCTCGTACTACCATTCGAGCCAAGTCGCGAGCGCCCAAGTCGACGTGGCGCTCAAGATGGTCGAGCACTGGCCTGCCGCGCAGGTGTTTCCAGGTACCCTATTCCTTTACCTTGGATGTTCTTACACGGGCTATAGCGTTGGACGTATGTCGTCTCGTGGCCCTTCACCCTGTTGGTGCGAGCGTATTGAGTCGCAAGGCGCCATGGCTCCTGGAACGGTGTCTTGCCCTCGGTACACATGACCTTTTTCTTTAGTGCTTTGCCTAGAAATGCCTTGTCGGTGTAGGCGCCGACTCGAGTGCGGCCGTGCCCAACCCCACGCGCATGCTGGCGTGGCGTGTGCTCTGCAACTACTGCGTGCACGCATCGCTTCGGTCGACGCTCGTGCAGGCCTCGGCAAATGTACGTGCGCACTTGTCCAACGTCGTGACCTGAGCGTGGTGGTAGGTTGAGGCGAATCTTGCGTTGGCGTGGTCGCTTGCCAGCGGCAACAAGACGCTGGCCGTCACACTGGCCACGCTGGGTTTGAACTTGGCCGTTGCGGTGGCTGCCAAAGAGCGCGACGCGTCTGTGGCGCTTGCCTCGGTGCTCAGCACGGTACCTCTTATTTCCACGGCACTATGAGCTCATGCAAACTGCTAGTTGGCGGCAACCGACGCCCTCGACGACGACACGTTTGGCCGTGTTCTCCTCGCCATTGCGACGCTGGTATATTGTGGAAAAATGGCGACGATCTCCTTGATTGATGATGACTGTGGTGTAGAGCTCGGTCGCACCCCACTTGTGGCCGTCGCTGCCATCCGCCGCGACGTTGCGCCCCCGTGCGTCCACCTCGCCGTCGCTTCTCGCGATTCTCGACGACCTCGCGGCCGCGTCACGCGCATAACGCGCCGTGCAGATCCAACTACGTACTGCTCGTATGCATTTGTATATGTGTTGTATCCCAAGATCGATCCCATGGCCGAGTGCTGTGGATGAGCTTTCTGGTCCCAGACCACTGCATTTTGTCAAGAACGCCATGAACCACAAAGGATTCTCATGTCCATCGAGGGATACGACCTTACTTGAAGAGGCAGTCGCCTGCGCCACCGAGCGCCTTCTGCACAACCCGACGCGCAAACGGAATGTACGACAGCGAGTACCAAATGGCGGCGAGGAACTGGAGGAGCACAAAGAGGAGGACGAGCACGACCTTGCCGGCCTTGCGCATACCCGAGAAGGCCACAATGAGCGTGAGCACAATCAAGCCCAAGTAGACGGCCGTCGCGATCCAGCGGTGTTTTTGGAACATGGCGCCGACTTGGCGGCTCGGGCCAACGAGGAACATGGTCGAGAGGAGGCCGCAGAGCGACCCGAACGAGTACATGACACCAAACCCGACCATGTTGACGGTCAGCAAAAACACGAGCGAGAAGAGCGAGCACGCGGCGCCGACGACCAAGACGGCGCCAAATGCGTACAGTCGGTTTTCGTACGACATGCTGGGGCAGCCGGCCTTGACGTTTTCATCCATGTCATCGTTGGCATCGGTCGGCGGGGCGTTCGTTGTCGGCAGCTCTGCGCGGGGCGTGCTGTTGGAGAAGAAGAAGCCGGCCATGACAGGAATACCGAATCCAAGAAATAAGAACTAAGCTTGTCCAGTCCGCAGGGTCTCTTGCGACAGGGCGTGGCGCCTATGACGCTAGATGACGGCGGCTCAAGTTTTTGGGGCTTTCCGTGCACACCGACCGCTGTCTCCACATCGGAAGGTTCTACTACGTACGAGTATCGACGTACGTAGAGTAGATCGCAGCCTACGATGAGAAGGCGATAGATCAGCGAGGAGAGTCGTTGCCTTTCAAAGTGCAATGTTGGTCGCGGTGTGAGCAACTTGGGAACAGCAAAGTGCAAGTCGTCTCAATATTTGTAGCTCTACATTGCTTCACTCGTCGTCCATCTCTTGCACTTAGCACGACAGACAACAATGCTCATGGGATCGTCTGTGGGGACGGAAGCCTGCCCGCGTAGTAGTGTAGCTTCGTGTTTGACTCCATACTTCAACATGAACGTGCCCAAACGATGACCAGTTGTGCAAGACTTCAGTATCCGGTCATTTGATATCCGGCCCACTGCAAGCCACCAGGGCGTGAGGTGACTTGGTGCGCCCTGGATTTGCCTGCAAATAGATATGGTTCCTAAATTTTGGCGCGGAATATTTGTTTATGTGTCCAACGCGACACTGGTCGAGTCGTACTGCGATGCCTGGGGTCTCTTGCCAGCTCTGCCGCTCAAGTTGTCGCTCCGGTTCTGCGCGGCTCGTGATTTGCAACCACATCCAAGCATCTGCAGGAATACTAGTTAGTCGATGACGATCGACTAACCAAGGCTCTCTGCACGTTTGTATCCAGCGCCGACTTCGAAAATCGTCTAATTTGGGCTTGTCCTACTGGCTTGGACACGCTTCGAACTTCGGTTTCCGGATACACGTCGCCGGTGTCTTGTCTTGGTGTTTGTATATAATCGGCTGGTAAAGAGCCGACGTGCAACGAAGTTCGAAGTGGAAACGGTGTGTCGAGCGAGCTCCTCTTGCAGCTTGTAATCGCATTGCGGACCGGCAAACGCCAAGTCGCCGCCATGAAGAACACCGTCGTGAGTACGTCGACGTCGCCGCCCTTTAGCTCGTAGCTCATGCTCGCACGTAGCTGTCTTCTTCAGCCTCGCGTCGCTCGCCTGCTGCGCCTTCGCGCTCATGTACCCGGCTTGGTTCCAGCAAAAGTACGCGAGCTCCAACGCGACGTCGCCCGTCGAGGTCTACCAGGGCTTTGGCCTCTTTGCCTTTTACTCGACGAACGCGCTTCAGACGCCCTTCTACGCGTCGGCGACGACGCTCAAGTACGCCGACTTTTGCGACGCCAACGCGGCCGGGAAGCCGTCGCCCAACTGGATGCTCGGCAACGGCAACGCGATCGCCGAGATCGTGTGTGGCTCGGCCATGACCGCGCTGCAGTACGTCATGGGCTTTGCGACCGGCATTTCTGGCCTCGCGCTCCTCGGCGCGATCGCCGCCACATACAACCCGTCGACGGGCCTCGCCGAACGCACGGTCTCGGGCGGCACGTTCGTCGCGTCGCTCTTGCTGCTCACGTCGCTCATCCTCTGGGCGCTGCAGATCCAGCAAAAGATGTACAACGTCGATGTGATCAACTCGTCGTACCTCGAATGCAATGCGGGCGTGACCAACTGGAGCTGCTGGTTCTACGGCTACAGCTTTTGGACTGCGATCGGTAGCGTTGTTGGCATGCTCATCACCATGTACACGAGCTCGGCTGGCCGCGCGGAAAAGGTATGAGCAAGGAGCGATGGCGCAAAGGCTCAATGTGGTGTGCGTAGATCCGCCACTTCCGCAACGAGTACGAGCAGGACCTGGCGATCGCGCTTCAGCAGTCGATGGAAGCCGCCCAGAACAACGCGTCGTCGCCGCGGACGATGCAGCAGGCCGGCTATGCGGGCGGTCACTACCAGCAGCAGCACTCGCAAGGCAACGTGGCGCCGTCGCGTGTCTAAGACGTCGTCCCCGTGGATCTCTGTCTTTTTTTCCCTCCATTGCTATAAAATATTAGTTCTTAGTCTGCTCCGCTGCCAAGGGAGGAGGGAGAGCGTCCAGAGGTTTTGAGGTATTGGACAGCAACCGCGTTGGAGGTTAATGCCACCCAATGGGTGTCGGGGTGATCGACAAGGAACTCGCAGTCGCCAGTGCGTTCGGCAGGTTCTGCGATATGGCCAAGATAGCCCATCGTCCTCCGAGCTGCTCCGAGCTCGTTCTCGAAACACGCCGCCGAGATTGCGTGGGTGCCGCCGCTGCTTTGCGTGGGTTCGAATCCCGTCATGTTGCCTGATCCCGCGTGTCGGATATACTTATACGTGGCAGTCTCTCGTCGCAGAGCGCCACCAGATTTCACGTGACGCCCCGACCACAAGTCGTCAGCACCGCGTGTGTAGCACCGATGTCGAGGCTCGAGATCTTGTAGCTCTCGCGTCGAGCTGGCGAAGCGTCGCTGGATGTAGGATTTTGGCACCAGCTATTATAGCAAATCGGTGAGCTGAGTGGAGCCAACCAGTTGCAGTTGGGGCGAACTGACGTGGCGGACTATCTGCAACGGCTTGGTCGAGTTGATCGGTCCGCTGTCGCACGTTGTGGGCTCATCGATGCAAAGGGTTTTCTCACGTTCTTTGTATGCTGAAAACACTCGCACGGTAGCCGTGGAACCACGACAATGTGTACATTTGAAAAGAGAGTTATAAAGTATCTCGTCTAGTCCCACGAGGAAATACTACTAGTAGTACCGCCCATCGGCGTCTCGTGCCATCCACTTGGGCGTGGTGTCGCGCGTTCGTGCCCCTGGCTTGATTCGAACGTGGCAAGCGCGGCTCTTTTGGACGATGTTCTTTTAAATATCTAGATAATTGTATGCACGAGCACCTATTTTAATCCTGCGAGACCGCCGCCCCAACAACAATTCAGCGAATCGGAACCTGCAAACAGCCACCTTGCCCGCGCGGTGTTTAAAACATTAAAAAACAAAGATGGTTTTCAACACAAAGAGCCTGCATGACAAATGGCTTGCACTCACGCACGTCAAGAACGTCGAAACAATTATGTCGTTATCACCGCCGTGGCGCATGTACTAGTGTACTGTAGTACATTGACTTTAAGAGGACGCGAGCGCGTACTTACGAAAAGGCGCTCGAAATTACTGCTCGGGTCGGATGTATAGAGCTGCAGTATGGCCAGAGATACGACGCCACAGCAGCAGCAACGCTGGAATGATTGCACGAGCAACCTATTTGGGGCAATCAGCACTTGTGGTTCACATATTTTGTAATATCCACGATCTGAAGAAAGCGGGTGTCGGCGTAGAGGGCGTGTGTCGTATATGGCCTGCCTATGGCTGGCTACCTCGGTGACAAGGTACGGTGACTAATGCCTCAACCGACAAGCGGATATCGCCACGGACCGACGTCGCTCACCAAGGGATCGCTGCGTTCGATTAGAATGGTTGACGTCCAGCAGAGGCTGGCGAAAATCTCTTGTCCTTATCGTTGCATGCATGCTAGTGCGGGAGTTGGCGTGGCAGCATTCTGTTTTAAACACTGAATCCAACACATGGTTGTTACAATGTATAATACACCCCCGGATGCCAATAAGAAACGGAGCGGAGTGACAAACCATATCGGGACTTGCGCCAGGACCGCCGAAGCCGCATGCGTCCGGGCTCGCTCAAGAACACCGTGCTGAGTACGTCGTCCTTCTTCTGTGTGGAGCTGGCGCTCACGCATCGTTGCGTAGCGGTCTTCTTCTCGCTCATGTCGATGGGCTGCTGTACCTTTTCGATGATCTACCCGGCGTGGTTCATGCAAAAGTACAAGGAGACGACACCGGACGTATTCCAGGGCTTTGGCATCTTTGCCTTTCACTCGACGGGCGTGCTGCAAACGCCCTTCTTTGCGTCCAACACGACGCTCGAGTACTCGGACTTTTGCACCAACCAAAAGGCCGGCGTGCAAGCGCCCAACTGGATGCTGGGCGGCGCGCCGCAGCTCCAAGTCATCCTCTGCGGCATGCCGATCAAGGGCATCCAGTACGTCATCATGTTTGCGGTCGTCTTTGCGACCATCTCGCTTCTCGCGTCGATCGCAGCCACGTTCCAGCCGCAAGCTGGCTGGGCCGAGCGCATCGTGTCGTCGGCGACACTCGCGGCCTGTACGACTTTGCCGTTTGCGTTTGCACTTTACCAATGCTCTTCTTTGTAGCGTGCTTGTTGCTCGCGGCGTTGATTTGCTGGGCGCTCCAGATCCAGCAAAAAATGCTGCAGATCGACGTGCTCTCGTCCGGCTACCAGGCGTGCAAGAGCGTCAAGGGCGACGGCTCCAAGTGGAGCTGCTGGTTCTATGGCTACAGCTTCTGGGCAGCGATCGGCGGCGTTTGCGGCATGCTTTGCACCATGTATGCGAGCTCGGCCGGCCGTGCCGAGAAGATCCGCCACTTTCGCAACATGTACGAGCAAGACCTCGCGGTCGCCATGCAAGCGTCGGCCGGCCAAACGCCGGGCACGACCACGAGCGCGTACGCGGCGCCGCAGTCGGAGAAGCCGATTGTGCAGCCGTCCGTGCAAAACCACCCAGGGTTTGCACCGACCGAGCCCCACGCCAACTCGATCTCGTCGTACGAACCTGGGTACCAACCGTACGGCCAGCCACCGCCGCCGTCCACGGGTCCTTACACCGCCAACACTGGCTATGGCAATCAGCCTGTGTACGGGAATGGGTACGGCCAGCCCCACAACAATGCGTATGGCCAGCCCCACAACAATGCGTACCAACAGCCCGTCCAGCCCGTCGTTGGTGGCAGTGGCTATGTCCGAGGTGGCATTGTCTAGGTCGACTAATTACTAGTAGATATATTATCTTATAAGCTATCGTGCTCTCCGTGCGCAGCTCACTCCCAACGACCAAGTGCTGGTCCAGGCGTAGCGCTACGTATCCGAAGCCTTTGCACTGACGAAGATAACGCTGGACGCGTTCATAGTAGATAAGCTGTCGTGCACGGTCGAGACAGGGGCCAGAGAGCCTTCGCAAAGTTGCCATCGGCCACACATCGACCCACACCTACGGCGTGATCAACCGTTATTTCACGAGTTCGAGTACCAGTTGATGGATGTACAAGACTTTGAATGGACAGATCCATCAAGACTCCTAACGAATTCGAGCCACAACTAGTGTGCGGGTGCTTGGTGCAGCACGTCCAGACGTCCATATTCTGCAGCGGTAGATCACACGAGCCCGTGACGCGAGCGTCGTCATGGAGTCGTCGTTGCTATTGCAGTTCGCGCCACCCGCCACAATGACGTCTGGACTCTTTGGGTCGGTGTAGTTTGGTGGCTCGTTGCTTTCATCCCGATGTGGGTGCCGTCTGCCATCGGTGGCCTCTTCTTCGTACGTTCGGTCTATCGATGACGTACCTTGCTTGATAGATCTGCCGGTGGTCTTCTCTTTCGCTTGGCCTTTTGCTCTTCAACTAGCACGTCTTGGGTTTGGCGCCGGTGTTGGTGTTTACGACAGAGCGTCGCATGCACTCGAGGAGGACGCGACGACGACAGAACAAGTGCCGCAATGTATTGAAAGGCGGCAGAAGTGTATTGAAAGGCGGCATAAGTGAAGAGCGAAACGAAGGTAAATGCAACACATCAAGGTATCAACTTTGGTTGATGTTTCCTCAGTCCAGACCAAACTACTTGGGGGCAACAACCGTGTTGGTGTCCGCTATGCCAGTGGTCGGTGAGGCGGGTCAGCTATTTGACTGACAGCTACAGCTGTTTGACCGACACTACCAATTAGGAAAT